AAAGGAAATGCCTGTAATTTCCTGTGCAGGTCTTACCAGGTGCTGGGCTCCATCAGATCCAGAAGCTGATGGGAGCTGGGAGCACCTGTTAGAATCTGCCTTCTCAGAAAACCTCAGAGACTTGAAATTTCACTTGTGTTTTGAAAAACCTAATGTCAGAGCTACAAAGGGCATCAGACTCTGGCTTCCCACATGACAGATCTGTTCCATGCTGACTTCCCACTGAAGACTGGAACACAGTCCAGCTTTTGTTCAGTGTGCCCTTTCAGAGGCATTGACTGGGAAGGAAATCTGACAGACTGGAGAAAACTTGGCTAAAAGTTACTTATCTTTATTTAATAATAATTGGCAGGTTTTTTTCATACACCTACGAGTCCTTTGGCTCTTGATGGCTTGGGACATGGTCATGCCTACTTGTGGGAGAAATTCCTGAAGTTCATTCAGTCCTGATCAGCATGACTCAAGGGAAGTAGCAGCCTCGTAAAAGGGCATGTCCTCTCTTTCAAGGATTCTTGGTAGTTCCCAGCCCAAGGGATTGCCTACAACACATCAGGCTGAACTATTTTGGTACCTGGCTAGCGTCTCTGGGTGTGTCATGGTGGTTGTGTGGCTGCAGCAAGCAGTCTGCAAGAGGAACAGAGAGGGAAGTGTTCAGATTTTGTAGAGTTTCAGCCCTGCAGGCACTGCGTGGAGCTGCTAATGCTTACAAAGTGGCTGGGTAAAAGGCTGTAATCGAGTGAGCTGTGGGCAGAAGAAGAGTTCTTAATTGCAACTGTAGGAGTAGTTGGCAGCCTCGCAGCCTCGGTGGCTGATAGTCTTCCTCAGGTGAGATTGGTGTCCTCAGGTATGCAGAGCTCTGTCAGGCATGGGTGAGGAGCCATGGACCAAAACAAGCTGATGATAGGAAAATTGCCTTGGCCATGGGTTGATGGAATCATCAGCATCAGTGCCTATACATTAGTATGTGCTAAATTGTGGCACGCTGGACATCAGCTCCCTAAAGTTTTCTGCTTTGGAGAGCTGCAGCAGAGGAGGAGGGAGCTTGGTAGTTCCCACACAGGCCCTGCTGTAGCTTTTCTTGGAGGTTTCATAACAGAATTAAGCAATTTGTGTTGCATGTTGCCATGGAGACTGTAAATCACTGTCATGCTGGTCTTCTCAGTCAGGGAGCTGGTGTCTTTAACCTCCCCTACAAATCCAGGGCTGGGTTCTGAGCCTGCTGACCTTCTGTAAAGGCCTCACCCTGGGAGCTCAGCCTCCAGGACAGCAGAGCAGAAACCAGGAAAAGGCATGCCAGCACATCAAATACCAACTATCTGGGGTCCATTTTATTTTTTATTATTGTCTTATGTGGCCACAATTCTGCTCAGAAGCTGTGCTTGGACCCACTTGCGTTCAGGGCAAGTTTTGTAATGAGGGTGGGGATTAGATACACTACCTACATTTTGTGGGCCTGTCATACAAACTAAGATGAATTTGGTGTTTTTATGTAGCTTGGCTGCTCCAAGGGGATAGCTCAGCCCTTCCACTCCACCTCCATGTCCAGACAGGTAAATGGGGTTTTATACAGTTTCCTAAAAGAAAATAATTTTTGCTGAGGAGGCTCAGCTTCAGTGGCACCCTTGAACCAATGTTTCTTTTTTCTTCCCATCCACCTACCTCAGAAGTAGCCACAGTTCTGATTTTCTCGGCATTACTGGCTTGTGCTGTCAGGCCGCCAGTCTTGCCAGTGTGTATGAAGATGGTTGTATAAATGGCTGTATAAATCAGCCTCCTTCCAGTGACTAAACCAGAGCCCTGACATCATTTGCCAGCGTAGGGTATGGATCCTTCTCTTGGCTCCTTCAAAATAAACAACTATATAAATTGTAAGATGATTATCATCAGACCTTATTAGTGTATTACCACATGCTGCTTTGTATTCAGACAATAGATAAAAACATTTGTGCTTCACTGTTCTCAGTCAGATCTACAGCAAACACGCTTATTCTTGCTCCCATCTGAGGAGGACTGTGTCAGTACTCTTGCCAAAAACACATGAAAATTAGCCCAAGTCTTTTGCACTTGCCTGTAGCTCTGTGCACACTGGGGGAGTGTTTAGTCTTTTCCAGGAAATGATATATGTTGTTTTAAAGGTTTGAATCATGAGCTGGTTAAGTTCATAATCTTGTCAAGGCATGAGTTGTCTTCATGCTTTGGTTATTAGGGCAGATGGAGGGGCAGAGGGATGGAAGCGCTTGACTTTCGGAAGGTTTTCGTTATGTACGTGCATGGCTGGAGCATGGGACCTGACAGCTCAGTAGAAAGAGGAGTGTTTCCATGAGCAGCAGAAACAATCCTGCAGAAACATCTAAACTGGCTGCCTTTTGACACTCTGAAGTTTTCATCTGTTGTGCTAGCATCACCTAAAATACAGGGAATTGTGCTCAACAAGCCAGCCTACAGTTCTTGACTTCTTTTTCAAGTGGTTTTTTTCAGTTCAGTTCTTGCTGTTTTCCCCAGGCTACGTAGCACTCAGTCTGGTGGTTCAGACACACAGCATGACCAAACTTCTGGAAACAACGGGAAGCAAATGCCTCGATTCAGGCGATAAGCATGCTGGGCAGAGACACAGTTTGTACAACGGGCTAAACATTATCCTAGCACTTTGGGGAGCATTTCATGCAAGATAAGCTTGAGGCTTCTTAGGAGTCGGTTAAAGGGCTGGCACAAAATGTCAGTAAAAATGTAATACTTGTTGCCAAGCAGCAGCTTGTGGTTTTGTGAGGAGGTCAAAAATCGTGCACAAACGGAGTATGTTTTTCACATCCACAGACTGTCCCCCGCCATGTCAGTAACAATCAGTCTTTCATTCTGCCTGGCTGGAGCTGCTCTGTGTGTAAAGAAGGATGGGGTGAAATCTTGGCCATGGGCAAAGCAAAAAATTGTCATTAAATGTGTTGGAAGGAGGGGCAGAGCTTTAGACAGGGTCTGTGTCTCAAAAAGTCTGTGAGGATCCTCTGACCCAAGAAGAACTACACAGAAATAAAACTTGGTCTTTCAAGCAAAAATAAGGCATTTAGTTGAAATTCATTGGATTTTCAGTAGCCCAGCCTGCTGTGTATTGATGTGTGGTCTCATAAATATGAGAAAGTGGCTTATTCAAAGATAGAAACTTTTCCTTGGGGTTATTGTGAGGAAATGCAGTGAGACTGTTTGAAACCTCAGCTGGTTTGGTCTTCTCCCCATCTAGCAGGTGTTGCTTGCAGTGGAAATTCTTGCTATTCTCAAGAATTTCCTCCAAAGGTGGTTTAGAAACAAGCAGACTTGATCATGCTTCTTGCTCTGAAAATGTTGGCTGGTCTCAACTTGGACAAGAGGCCTTTGCTGTTCTTAGACTCAGCAATCTCATCCTCTGTTGCCTTATGGGCTTTTCTTTTTAGAGGTGGTATGGGGTCTCCAGTGTACTGAAAGAACATGAGACCCCCAGGTTTGCCAGGTAAAAAGTGCTTTTATGATTCAATATTTTGGATTGAACTGAAGTAATGATTATGGAGAAAGGGACTAGAGAAATCAGAAACTAACATGGAGTAGGAGATTATGTTCTTGTGTTTTGACAAGAGCACAATCAGCTTCTGTGCACAAAGCACATCAGACTTGCTTGGTGGTTTCTGAGAATCAAAAAGTTAAAGTTGTCTTTTTAATGAAAAAGAAATCCTTAGGGTTATAGGGAAAGCCTCCAAAAGCTTGTGTGGGTTGGTGGGGATACAGGTTGGGAGCCAACAGTTTATGGAGGTTCCCTCAGAGCAGTCCTGGTCCCACCTCAGTGCTGACTCCAGCCAGTGCCTGCAGCCCAAAGGGCACCAGCAAAACCAGAATGTCTGGTAGCAGGTGCCTGCAGAAAGTGCCACCACTGCTGCTGCACTGAACAGTATTTTCAAGAAAACCGATACCAAGAAAATCAACTGCCTTGTTTTCAGCCTTATCGTTAGGATAAATTTTTTAAATTTTCTCTTTAAGTGTGTGAAAGACCTCCCAGAAAATGCAACGGTCATTCAGATCTGGGAGGTCGCCACCTGTTTCCTCTGAGATCTGAGTCAGTATCACTGCTGCCCAAGGGTGGGTGGAGGGCACTTACATGCACAGAACCTCCGGTCTGCCCTCTCTTTAAATGAGCAGTTTCCTCTGCTGAGTGTTCAAATGGGCCAGTCAGCAATGGCTGCCTCTTCTCCCTTTTCCACATACCTGTGCTGTTGCCAAGTTTCAGCCAGGGGATTTTTTTCATCTTTCTTTTAGGACGCAGCTCTGAGGTGAGGGGAGCAGTGTGACCATGCTGCTGGGAACCAGCCTTCCTGCCACAGCAGGGTTGAGGGGTTAAAAAAAAAAAAAAAGCAAAACAAAAACCACCTGTTGTTCCTGGCCTGCTGCCTTCTTGTTTTTATTTCTCAAAATTGAAAGTGAGAGAGAAGAAAGCAGCTAACTGCATTTTTGTCTGCTGGCTGAGCCAGGATTGGACCTTTACCTCCAGTTTTAGCCATCACTAGCAGCTCTGCCTGCAGATCTGGCCCTAGGATGTAACATACCATTAAATGTTTGCTATACCTTGGGTTAAGCAGTGAGGAATAGCACAACTCTGACTTATCAATGGGATTTCCTGGCAACAGGAAACTGTTGGGATCTTGATAGGTGCACTGAGCTAGGGTGATTTTTGTCATAGCTGTGTGGACCCAGCCCCTGTAGGAAAGGTATTCAATGGCATAGGTGTTGCATGAGCATTTGGTGACAATTAGCAGTGCTTGCAGACAAACAAGGCACAGTGGTGGAGATGTCTGCACTTGACGTGCCAGGTCTGAGTTTGGAGTAGGGCTGTTGGGCAGGGTTGGTGCTGCTGCTCCTTTCCAAAAGAATTTTGGATGTCACAGCTGCCTTCACTCTCACTTCTTAGGCAGCAGGGGAAAGCTGCCTAGTGCATATTGCCCTCTTGTTGCTGCTGAGTGACTGGAGATGATCTCTTCCTCCAGCAGGTTCAGCACACTGGAAGCATGGCTACAAGCGCTGTTCCCAGCGAAAACCTCCCCACGTACAAGCTGGTGGTTGTTGGAGATGGTGGTGTGGGCAAGAGTGCTCTCACTATTCAGTTCTTCCAGAAGATTTTTGTGCCAGACTATGACCCAACTATTGAAGACTCCTACCTGAAGCACACGGAAATAGATGGGCAGTGGGCAATTCTTGATGGTAAGCAAGCTGCTTTCATGATCCCCTTTCCCTTCTAGCTGAGCACAATGCAAATATACCTCAGTGTCTCCCACAGCATGTTGTGTCTCTGTCCCTCCTGCTCTGCTGTGGGCTGGCAGGATCTGGAGCTGCAGTGCATGGTCTGCAGCTGGTCTCCAGCAAAGCTTCTGCTTCCAGTTGCATTGGTTCCAGTTCTGCACAGAAATGTTTCTTGCAGGCCTGTGAAAACCTACAGATCCTCACTTGCATTTGGAGCAGGCTTCTGCTGTCAGTGAATTACAGCCCTGCCAGGTGGCTATTGCTAATGATACTTCATTGAGGCTGAACTTATCCCCTGGGAAATAACAGTGAGTGGGGAACTGAGTGAGGGTTATAACCAGAAAGAATATTTAATCAAAACTGTTGTCCACTGACAGTGGAGAATCATTACAGCTCTTAAATCCAGTCATTCAGGGTGATGTTTTCATGTTTAATTACCTGTTTCATTTAAATATATGTAGGAAATTGGAGTTCTGATGTAACCGAGAGTTTTCAGTTCTTTGAAAAAAAACTTTTTTTTTAATGAAACACACAGACAAAAACAAACAAACAAAAAAACCCAAAACGAAACCCCAAAAAAAAACAAAAAAAAAACCAAAAAACAAACAACAACAAAAAAAAAAAGACAACCACCATGATTAGCAGGTGAGGAGAAAGCCCTGTATTACCTAAAGTTGCAGCTTGTTCAGTTGTGCTGCATGAGGCAGACTAACCACAGCTACAAAGGGAATCTGGCTCTTAAATATTCTAAGTTTTGTTTTGCTTTATAGAATAATTAGGTTGTACTTAAAAGCAAGCAAGTATTTTGTGTCTTAATTACCCAAGTTCATGTATGTGGCCACTAACATAACTGAACTCAATTTAGCTTCACTTGGGCCAAGTTCTGCCTCCACCCTCTTGTCACAAAGGTGCGCAAGATCTTTGGTGTCTCTGCATAAGTGTCACTGGTGTGTGGGGACAGAAAGCTGGGGGATTGTCATGAGTAGTGGAATATGGGTGCTGCTGGGGTTTGCTATGAAGACTGTTAGCTTGGTCTGGAAACTTGAGATCTTAGTTGATAAATCTTAAGAATTTATCAGATACAATTTAGTCAGTAAAATGGCCACAAAGTCCTTAAAAGAACAGCTTTTATTCAATATTAAAAAAAACCCAAAACTAACAAACAACAAAACAAGTTAATCTTGCCAACATTTGCTCATTTGAATATGTTAACAGTTGATATGAGGCAGTATTTGTGAAATTGGTGCTGAGATGTCTCTTCTTGTCATCTGCGTTAGAGATATCTGCTCATCTCATAACGTATACATGTACCTTTATTTTTTAAATACCAATCCTGTATAAAAGAAAAATCCAGTCCTGCTGTAAATTAAATTTATTATCTTGAGTCCAGAATCCAGCCCTGTAAAATGAGTGACCTTTATCTTCACTGGTATGCCCCATGTTCTGATATATATATATATATATATATACATACATATATATACACACCAGCTGCTGTACCTGTGGGTGTTGGCTGAAACAGCCTTGGCTTTGCAAATTACTGAAAAGTAGAAAAGGCATCTTTTACTGAATATTTGGAATTTTTGTTCAGACAAAACAAACAAACAAAACTTCAACAAAAAACCCAACCTAACCTGATCTAAGTGGGAGTGGTGAAAGAAATTGTTTTCCAATGAGCAGAAACTTAACCCTTTGTTTTAATGAAAAAGCCTTTCTTTTGCTCAGATGGAGCTTAGTGGCTGTACTTGGGCTGAACAGAATTCAGCTGTGGCCTTGAATGGCATGTTGGGAATCCCTGACTTCCAGGGCTTGTGTGCCCACAGATGCTTCACAGCCAGAGAAGTGAAACTGCAGCTGTTTCTCTTTCCTACCACTTGAGATTTTGAACAATCACAATTTTGGAAGAAAGGCAATATTCTTGCCTGAAAAAGGATGTGACCCTTCTCCATCTGCCCAGAAGAAACAGGGCACCAGGACTGACTAACACCTGTGTCATTTGCCTCAGCTCTCTGTCACAGGGTTTGGATCTAGGCTATTCTCAGAGGTCACCATATCCTGGGACAGCTGCTCTTGCTGTGGCTACATGAATCACTTCTGGTATAAAATTAGGGACAAACATGATAGGTAGGGTCAAGATGCATCATGATAAATCCTAGACTTTCCAGTTGTTCTTTATGACCAAAGCCTTTACAAGCTGAGGTTTCATGCAGTGCTTGGTGGGCAGAAGCAGCTGCCCATCCCCAAAATAGGAACTAGTTTTGGAACATGAACAACCAAATAAGGATATAGCATGAGGGGCTCTATAAATTTTGAAATTTTCAGAAACAGTGATTATTTAAAAAAAAACTTTTAAAAAAAGGAAACAGCCCTTTTCCAGGCTGTTGCCTGAGCAGTTCTGTACAAAGCATCTCAAGCATTTTGTAACTGCACCAGCATTATGTTGTAAAAAAAAACCCTTTTGCTAGCCAGCTTGCATAAAGCATTTGGCTTCCCTCCATGAAGACCTTCACCCACATTTATTCAAGAGCACTTACTGCCTGCATGATGAAATGTTTGACTTGTATTTTTTCTTTTGCTGAAATCTCTCAATGAAAGTAGACTGAAATTGAATAGGGGTTTATTTTAGATCTTGGAGGAAAAGCTACATTCAAAATCTTCTTTTACTTGTTTGTTCTTTGGCTTGGGCACATCTCTATTTTTCTCACCAAGAGCTGTCTGTGATAGTTCCCTGCCTCCCAGAAGACTGTGGGACCTGTGTTTGTTGTGTTCTTGTTCCACACTACACAAAACCACTTTATTGTTGACCTTATGCCAGCTTTGGAAGACCATCAACGCAGCGTTCGGAAGACAAGTGTTGTAGAGTGGAAGAGGGACTTAACCTGAATGAAAGATACACAGGCGATTTGTGGGTCGCCCATTTTTTGGTTGCTGCCACTCTAAAGAGACTTTAGGACCAGCTTCCAATTTTCTCTGCATATGTTATCTCAGTTTATTCCCTGCTGGTTGTGCTGAAATCAGCACAGTGCTGTGCTTGGTGAAATGCACATAGGTGCTGTACAGACATGAGGTCAGAATTAAGTGAGGGCCAGGGTTAATCTGCTTTGATTAGCTCTTGCTTCAATTGCATTGCTGTGATTAATTTTGCACACTCCTTTCTGTGTGCAGGCTAACTTAGCAAGTAGCAGAGGATTTCTTTTGGTGTGGCTGCAAAATGCCAGTCTGGAATTAACCTGGGCATGAAGCCAAAAATGGAATACCTTAATATGGCAAAAAGTTCCTTATGGTTCAGAATTCCTTATGGCTCATACATCACACAGATAAAAAGGTGGCAAGCAAAGGGAGATGAAGAGATGACCACAAGTACATGGCTTGGTCTTGTTGGGGAATTGGGCTGAACTCTTAGCTGTCAGTAGGGCTGTGCCAATTGGTATGAGCCAAACAAGGAATTGTGTGGGATGAAAGGAAGCTGTGCTCTCCCTTCTCTTCCCTTTTCTTTCCCTGGTATGATTTTGATGAAACTCTCACAGCCTAGAAATTGTCTCTCTGCTCTTGAGTTTCAGTTTCCCTTCTAGTTCTCTTCCCAAGACCTCCTCCTAATCCTGGGGCATCCTTGTGCTGGGCTGGACCTGCACAGCCTGGTGTGCACTCCTGTGCACTCACACCAAGCTCTGTTCCTTCCCCCACACTCTATCTGCCCTTCCCACCTGTCTACCCCTTGCATCCCTTTTTGTTGAAGGTTTTTGCTGCTAGTCATCCCTGGGCACACTGTCTGCTTTTCTTCTGGGGAAACTTGAGATCAACTCAGCCATGAGGCCAGAGGGAGATCAAAGGTCACTTCAGATTTGCAGGCAGAAGGGTTTGTTTGTGGCTTACTTTCTTCTTGTTTTTGTTAATTTAGAGTAGCATCACTGAGAGTATTTAAATTCAAGTTAAATTTGTACTTGCATTATTTTATTTGTGTGTACAGTATTTCCTCTCCCTTAATTGCTGGGATTTTGCAACAGTGAAAGAGGGGGTTTTGTCGAGTTGTCTTGAGTTGGATTTTTTTCCTGCCAGGAAAATTTTGGTGTTGCAACATGGAAAACACAAGGCTTTGAATACTTGCCCTTTGTTAGAGAAAGGGCTCCTTTAAGGGCTTGCATCTTTAGTCTGTTTATTGATGTGGAAGCCAGTCTTCTTTTTGCTTAAAGAAAGGGCAAGAATTCAAATACTTGAGTTTTCTATATTATAATATCGGTGTATTTAGATAGGGCACAGAAGAAGGGCTCATAAAAGCCCCAGTGTTTTCCTATCATGTGTTTTTTGCTGAGGAAAGCTGTCATGCCAGAGGCAGCATGGCTGTGTCTGAGAAGGAGCAGAAGCATCAGAGTGACCGAGTGAAATATCTGCCTTGCTTTGCACATGGCAAGGGCACCTCTTCAAGGTGACTTGGGCTGTGGGGATACTGAATAGGAGCTGTGACCCCAGTACCCCATCTGTGCAGTGCCCAGAATACCAATTCCTCAGCTGAAGCCACTGGCTGATCGGAGTGCCCTCTCCCACGGTGCTGCTGATGGAAGACACAGACTGTGGAGGTGGCGTTCCTCAGCCTGAGGCTTGTTAGTTTGACTTGGCAATTCAAGTTCAGTTTTCCCATGAGCTTAGGTGTCAAGCTGCAGGGCAGTGAAACCCAAAGGCTGAAGGACACAAAATGGGTTGACGTGCCTGTCAGTTCATCTTTATCCCCTCTAGATGCCATGGACAGCGGAAAAACTCTCTTGAGGTGACCTGTACACCCAGCTGCCTGGCAAGCTGAAGATGTAGGAGGAAATTTTGCCTAGATTTGAAAAGAGAAGAGCTCACCTGCACAACCAGATCTGAGCTCCTCAAAGGCTGGGAATGGTGTGTTTGAACTGAATCCAGCCTAGGCTCCAGAAAAAGCAATGCTATTGCTGACTTAGAGTTCACAGTGTGTCTCTGCCCTTGGATTAGATTCACCAAGTGCCTTTGTCCCTGGATGGGCACTTGGAGCACTGTCAGTTGCAGAGACATTGCCACACGGTACACCTTGAAGCACCAAGGGCTTCTATTTTGGACCACCGATTCCCTTGTATTCCTGGGCTCCTGTGCCTGCTCAGAAGTGCTCTCTAGGCAACTGCACTCTTGCATAACCCATCAGGATTCACAGAAAAATGGTGTGGAGAGCTCTAAAGGGGAGGGATTCAATTAGCAGGGAGTTCATCACAGCAGCTGGGGGTCACATCCACTGGAAAGTCGAAAACGCCATCTCTTCACTCAGCAACCTCTTACCTGCAAAGAAGGAGACCTCCCTGCTGGGCTCTCACGGCCTAATTGCTCTTAGTTTAGTCTCCAGCTGGTCTCATGATAGCTCTAAATGGCTCTGCCCTCTTTGGATGTCTGCTTCTACATCATGCATCATCCTTGGCTTCTCTCTCCTTCAGCTTACCCAAATGCTTTCATAATTGCTCCTCCTTGCTTCTTTGGTCAAATTTGTGAGAAATTCACGAAGTTTTCTATTGGAAGTCTCTGACTATGTGCAGCCTATGAGTCTGATTTCAGTTCTTGGAAGAATGAGGTAGGAGAAACCCACTGTGCTTTGGTCCTTGTTTCCATGCTGGCAGTTAGGTGCTGCCAGTGGGGCAGCTGGTGGTTTAAAGTGTACAGTTCTCTACTCATGGTTCTTTCTGTCTTCTGGCATCCTGTCTATAGAAACAGGAATTTTAAAAGAAGGTGAATGCTGGCTAACATGCTAAATCTTCTCATCCCTTTGGGAAGCCAGTCACCATCTGAGCTACCCCTTCCTAAGGTTTCTCCTTGCTCTGTCCTATTTCTATAGGTAGGAGTTATCTTGAAGATACCACAAGCAAAGGTACCACAAGCAAAGCCACTTACATCTGGCCCTTTTCAGTGTTGATGCCTTTCAGGATGGGGTCCTTTCCTGCCTACAAAAGATCAAGATCCCTCTCCTCTGTTGTTTACAATTCACAAAGCACAGAAATGTTAGGATGAGGTTTTGCCTTGATGAAGAGCACATTTAAAGTTAAGACTTTCTCTGGCCATATACACAATTCTTAACTTTGTGTGAGCTTAACCTTCACTGCTGTGTGTCTTTTACTTCCACTTTCAAATTGCCATTTTAAATGCTGCCTGGACTTGCTCACCTTTTTATCAATGCTGCAAGTGAATTCCCTTTAAATAGCAGCTGCTGACACAGCAGCTCTGCCTGTGTTTAGTGTGATGGCCAAGATCCAGGCAAGGTAGGAGAGCCCCATGCAATGGGGTATCCCCACAGCCCCCACCAGGGCTTGCCCCCTCTCCCAGGGGATGCAGAGCTTTGGAGGGGCAGCAGCAGGGGATGGGTTGATGGCTGCAAAGGCAGAGCTGGATGCTTCTTTTGTGTTTCATGAGAAGTTTGCAAATGTGCCGGAGCAAGGGGAAGTCCCTAAGCAAATTACCATGCAGGATACAGCACATCCATCTCCACCTTCCTGCCCACAGCCTGTGCTGGGGCACCTGCCCTGTCTCAGGGGGAGGGAGGGCAGGAGAGCTGAGCTCTCAGCGTGGAGCTCTCCCACTCCACCACAAGTAGGGTTTGTGTGCTGGCTGTCAGCTCTCAGCCCTGCTCTGACACCATGTCTAGCTGCTGCGGGAGTCATATGAGGGCAGCCCAGCCTCTCCATACAGGTTGGGCAGGTAGGAGAGATTAATTTCCTCTTCTGTCCCAGCTCCAGAGCCCTGGCCTTATTCCATGGTAGCAGTTCTGCCCAGGGCATAGAAATTTACCAGCACATGCAGTCTCTTTGGGTCTTCTATTTCCTTTTTTTTTTTTTTTTTTTTTTTTTTTTTTTTTTTTCTTTTTTTGTCTGGTGGTTTTTGNNNTTGGTTTTTTTTTTTTTTTTTTTTTTTTTTTTTTTTTTTTTTGTGCAGTCCTTGATAGCTGAAATGCGTTTGAGCTGAGACCCTTCTTTCCTAGATTTATAGGGGAGGAGCAGGATAAAAGGCTATGAAGAGATTCAGGTGACTTTCCAACAATCTTGACAAATAAGCCTAAATCTCAGGGTCTTTGCAAGAGCCTGGAAGCTCCTTTTACCTTAAGATCTCATGAAAACAGACATTCCACACCAGCTAAGGCAGGAGAACAAATGAGGCTGAAGGCTTTAAAGGGCCTGCCAGCACCAAAGAAGGTCTCCAGGTCTTCCAGTGTAGCTGTCTCTCCTCCAGACATGCAGTGGAGGTGTGTGGCTGGCTTGTGGGCTGTGCTGTGACATGCAGCATGTCCACCTGTGCTGATGCAGCAAAGTGGTCTTTATCATGGCCCCACCTGGAAACTGGGGCAGCCTGAGCACTTCCCCCTACAGGGAACACCTTGCTGGGTCTGTGGGCCCATTCAGACTAGACAAACCTGTATCAAGCCTGCTGCTCTGTCAGCAGTATGCTCCTGCCACTGTCTCCATCCATGGCTACCCTGGGCTTTCCCCATTACTTGTGGGCAGCAGATGTTTACACTATGGCTATACAGCAGATGTAAAACAGTTTTCCCACCCAGCCCAGTCGACTGGGATGTGAAAATGCTCCCAGTCATCATGAAGGTCCCATGTTTGCCTCTGGGGTACAACGATGCATTAGGATTAGTACTTCTGAGCAGCTGATGCACTTTGAGTGCACCCCATGTTGGTACTGGCATAGCCTAAACTGATGAACTCCTCTTGCACCCTCCTCCTGCCAGTCAAAATCCTGGCTGTGCACAAAGCTGGGGCTCAGGAACTAGCACTGATCTGTGTATCAGTATGTGGTGTTTACCCAGAAGGCTGGGGTAGCTTGTTCCACAAGTGATGGGACCCCCTACAAGACAGTGGGTTATGATTCCATTAAGTTTAATCTAGTGAGGAACGGCATCTGAGTGGCTGTCACAACTGAGGTGTTTTAGGGGATTTGAGCATGGATTTATTCACCAAAATGTGATCACTGTATTGGATGTGCAAGGCACTTAAAGCTTTTCCAACTGTTTTAGTTACCTCCTTAGTATCAGCACACCATTTGGGACTAAATATTTAAGGGGAGTTCCCCAAGGCTCTGAAAGGACAAAATTGTCTAGAAACAATATTCAGGTGTTGAGAAAAGGAAAATGCTTGTAGCTGTTACTTTGTGTTGTGTCCCGGCTCTGCTTCACCATGCATTTTGTAGGTTATCCCTGACATTTAAACTGCTTTTAGCTAATCTTCCAGTCTTGGGTTTTCTTTTCTGGGAGAGGGAAAAGTTGGGAGGGTTGTGAAATCCTTTGAGCCATATCTTGCCAGAGGAGCAACTCTCCAAGTTTAGTGATCTGTGTTTGGTACAGGAAAAGGAAAATGAAATCCACATAGTCATCTTCCCCTGCTCCCAGCTTAGGCATGCAAGGATGAGTGAGGTCTGGGACAGAAACTCCCTTGTCAATCCAACTTGATTTCATCACATCTTGCTGTCTTTGAGGAAGCCCAGCAGAGGCAGAAAGGCCACAGGACATATAGTGGTGCCAGCAGCTGCAGGTCCCCCACAGTAATTAAAAACCTTTGTCTCTTCTGTCCTAGTTCTGGATACTGCAGGCCAAGAGGAGTTCAGTGCAATGAGGGAGCAGTACATGAGGACTGGAGATGGTTTCCTCATCGTCTACTCGGTGACAGACAAGGCCAGCTTCGAGCACGTGGACCGGTTCCACCAGCTGATCCTCAGAGTCAAGGACAGGTGGGTGCCAGCACTCCCTGAGCCGCCAGGCTCCCGAACCTCCTGGGGGCATGGCTGCACATCTGACCCCAGCTCCTGCCTTCTGGGTGTCCTGAGACAAATCCTTAGGTGGGATTTGTGGACCTCAGTGTGGTGAATAAGAAGTGGTTTACTTCGATAAGCATGAAGTGCTTTCAGCGTGGAAAGGGTCAGTGGTGTTACAATGGAGTGAAAATGCATCTGGAAGGGAGCAACTTTTGCCAGAGCAATGTGAGAAAGAGAGATCAGACACCTTTGAAGGTAACCAGCTCAGCTCTGAAGAGAGGGAAGGATGCTCTGTGTGCAGTGCAGGCACTTGGGATCACCAGCAGGGAGTCAGCAAGCATTTCAGCCCTAATTATTTTGTGTGTCCTGGTGCCATCTTCCTGTCCCTGGCTTGTGCCAAACACACCTTCAAAGGCCCTGCATTATTTGGGGGTTTGAACAAGTGTTTTGAAGGGGAAAAAACTTGTGCTGGAAGGAACTGTATTTCTAACCAGGGATGTAATGTAGTTAATGCACTGTGCTCTGCAACAAACAATTACACAGAATAAAACATCTGTCTGTGCCTGGGGAGACAGCAAGACAGGTCGCCTCTCTCCTCTTTGCATGTGCTGGGGAGAAGGTAGCACTGGGAATTTAATCATGGTAAATAAATGTGTCCTGGCACAGTGAGGGGAAGCTGCTGGTTTATCTACAAGATAACTCCCTCTTCCCATCCTGGTTCAAGAGGCAATGGATCCATTCTCACTGGGTGGGGTGTGAATTAAGCCCTTATATGTCTGCAGCTTTGAAACACTTAGTTCTTCCGTTCATAATGACTTTTAATTATGGAAGTCATCAAGAAAAGTCACCAGAGGGTTTGGGCCTCGTTGCTGGCTTCCTTTCACAGCTCTGAATAACTTCCCCACAGGAAGGGTGGACTCCTATCATGTGAGGTTCACAGCTGACAGCTCTTCCAGTAAAGCATCCAAAGCGTAGCCCACAAGAGTGAAAAGTAAAGGAAGAAACACCCTCTGATTTCATTTAAATGAAGAAGAATGTCAGTCCCTCAGTCAGCCTCTCAGATCACAGCAGTCTAAGCACTGCTGGCTTAGCTTGGGGCAAAATAAATGTGTTTCTAAAACCTGAAGGAGACGCGACAGAATTTCCTGTAACCTGCCCCAATCTGATGCTGATTTTATCTAATTTAACTTGGTGAAAATAAGAGTAAATGTGTTTCTAAAAGCTGGAGACGGGACAGAATTTCCTGTAACCTGCCCCAATCTGATTTTATCTAATTTAACTTGGTGAAAATAAGATGTGGTGTTCACTGTTTGCCCTGGACTGAAACTTTTACCCTCCATACATGCTGTGCAAATGCTGCAGCAGTGTGTGAGAGGCAGGAAGTGAAACAGGCTGGCGAGGTTGTTTGTGTTTCCCCGCTCAGCGCCACTCCGAGCGTGAGGAGTGTATTAATGCTTCATCCAAAACCTGGGCTCAGGCAGAAAATCACAGCAGTGGGAACAGCATGAGTCAAAAAGCCCTCCTGCTAAACCCACACGTAACTGGGAGCAGAGCATCACCCTGGTTTTCAGTCTGGCAGGCAGTTTTGGAACTTAAAATCCAAAACAATTGCAGACTGCTGAGCTAGCAGGGCTGTTCAAAGCCTTCCTCCCATTTTCTTTCCACAACTTTCATTATAATAAAATTTCAACTGTAGCAGCTTTGTCCAATTAGCAGTTGTACTGCTTACAATAGGGAACAAAGTCCCCATAGAGTTTTATGCCTGATGTAAACAAGGCAAATGAGATAGCATCCAAAAGTAATCCATTTCTAATCAAGGTGCTGCAAGCCAAAAAGCAATCAAATAATCCAGACAAGCAAATATTTTGTTCCAGAAGGATCAGAGTCAAGATATATCAGTGCTCAGGTATTAACATTAAATCACAGTCACATTATCAGAATGAATAACTCTAAGACTCATTTAAAATGCAGAGTGCAGTACAGTATTTTTCCAGCCAGAGCAATGGGGCAACATGCCAGAGGGAAGATGGAGCTCTTACCATCTCGAAGAAAAATGATCCAGAAACGCTGTTTAAAAATCCAGAGTTACCAGGGAAGTGTTTTATACAGAAATGAGTATGTCCAGCTGCTCCTTACCCCAGTAAAATCAGCTCTGTTACAGCAGAGAACACTGGGATCATTTAGGAGGGCTTAAAGTTAAGTATGAGACAACAATACTGCAGTAACTGTCAGTGATCAGAAGGGACCTCCTCCCTCCCAGCAGTGGCTAAGAGGCCCTGCAGCAGCTGATTGCTCTGTCTCATGAAGCCAGAGTGGCACTGCCAGCACCTCCCATGGCTACAAACCTTGGTTCTCTTTATCTCTGGAACAGCGGAGCTTTCTGCAGGGGGAGAGGGGGAGAGCCTTGCACAGGATGTGCTGTGGATAAATGGATCTCTTCTCAGGTGGTGGCTGAAGGCAGTCACATGCCTGGTAGTTCAGGAAATACTGAGTATTATTACAGAGGGAGATGGGTTTGGTGTTTTTTTCTGGGATTAGGAACAGGAGATGGTAGGTAATAGCATCGGAAGCTTAACAAATCTCTTTGGTTCCTTCCAGCCTCCTTCCAGCTACCACTGCCAAGCCCAGTTTGTCTTGGAGTAATAGCTGATGGGCATCTCTTTGCTCCTGCTGATTTACTCCACCATTTGATTCCCCTCTAAGTACCAGCTCCCAGAGTCCATCTTTCTTTCCCTTACAGTTGCTCTCAATGGATGACCAGGAACTAAATTACTCCAATTCTTCCATCATCCCCTCAGTATCTTGCCAAGATATGCAGTTACTGAGATGCCTTAACTGCTACAAAAAAGTCCCAGTCTCCTGTTCAAGATCTGTCTTTATGTCTCAGTTGATTTTCTGGCTAATTCTCTAGACCTTTCTTCACCTAGCTGGATCTTCAGGTTTAGTTATCATCAGGCATTGCAGAAATGGTGACAATAAGTTCCTGAAGTCCCTACAAATAAAAAGGAATGTGTGCACGCATGCAACTTGTCAAGTAAATTTTTACAATATGAACATATGTATAACACAGCCTGTGGGTTTTCTTTTTATTTCTTTGCACATAAGTGGTATGTCTGTAGCTGAAAATGTTAGATGATGTCATCATGAAAAAGTTAAATTTATGCTCATAATTTTTGTTGTAGTGTGGTAGTAATTGGATGGTGGTTTTGATTTTTTCCAGGGAGTCTTTTCCAATGATTTTGGTGGCAAACAAAGTTGATCTAATGCACTTACGGAAAATTACAAGAGAACAGGGGAGAGAAATGGCAACAAAACATAACGTAAGTTTACAGGATTATTTAATGGGTTATTGAAATTAGTCCTATTACAGGCATTCAGAATCGAAAGCTGTGCTCGTTAGGAGCTGAATTAAAGCTTACAATGAAACATTTGTAAATAGGTTTTTTGACTACTACAAAGTAGCAGCTCTGCAGTTTCCTTTCAGTAGGACCAATTCATCACTGAAACCAGAGCCTCTGCTGTGCACCAGGCTGTAGCAGAGCTGTGGCCATCACTAAGACTTATGTACAAGGTGTCTGAAAGTGGTGAGAAGTGTTCAGGATGAGGAAAGAAAGTGCACCTCCCTGTAGTGAAAAGGCAGAGTCAGGCATTAGGAGGTATATCCAGGTGCCTGAGCTTGTTCGAGATAATGAAGTTAACAGGGTTGTTAAACCTATCTAAATCTGGCCCACCATCTTAGCTCTGCATTATTCATGCTGTGAGTTTAGCCTGAGAAATTTGTCTTAGATGGGTGTAGATCACATGCTGCTCCACTAATCACCTCTAAATGCCAGCAGCCCTGAATACCCAGAGGGAGACAACAGCTCCCTTAGGAGGTGGAACTGAAGGAAAGGTTAAAGGCAAGCAAGCCTGAGACCTCTTGGCAGCTAAAGGAAAAGCTGTGTGGTGGTTTCTGAGCAAACCTCGGTGGGAGTTTGGCAGGGCAGGTTCACTCCCCCCCTCCCCAAGGAATCTGGTTTCTGTCAGAGCCAGGACACCTAAACTGCAGCACAGCATGTTGTATCCATCTGTATACACAGGCCTTGGAAAAGGCCATGCATGAAAATACCTTATCAGAGGCAGTTTTATAAATCTGCCAGTGTGCTGGACAAGCACTCTAGGAGGCCCCATCTGCCTGTCAGACTTTGAAGGGGAAGATCATTTTACACTGAAGGGGAATTGTAGTCATGAAATATTCATGCAGTAGTCCCAATAAAATGTGGCAAGCAAGAATTTTTGGCAAGTGCTGGTCTTTCAACAACCTTCGGCTATTTTCATGTCTGTGAGCACAGCTCAGAGGGAGAGAACATCTGATGGCCTGAAGTCTGGCATTATTCTCCCCCAAACCCAGAGCTCCATAGCAGCTGTTTAGCCTGGTGCCCATTCCAGACCTTTTGTAAGCAGTCGTTGACCTTGCTGCAAGCTTAAGGGCGTTGGTAGCAGTGTCATGGCAACATTTAGTTTACCTGTATTTCCGTGGTATTAGCAGCCCATTTCTCCAGCCTTTAGGCTTTTCATTTTGAAACTGGTATCATCACTGATCTCTTCCATGACACACTTCTCTCCTCCAGATTCCTTATATAGAAACGAGTGCCAAGGACCCACCTCTGAACGTGGACAAGGCCTTCCATGATCTTGTGAGGGTAATTAGGTAAGCTGCAAACTCCTCCCTTCTTTACTGCCCATGGATGGGAACATGCAGAAGTCATGGCCCAGAGAGTCAGGAGCCAGATTCTGGGGAGCCAGGTTTTCTTGAGGGTGGGATATTTCTGATGTTTATTAACTTTCTTGTCCTATGTCAGCTTAGGTCTGTTACTAGCACTTAGCTGCTCGTGCAGGGCATCAGTACCAGGCCTATTAAGAAGTAGCTGTGGTCATAATAAAAAAATTTTAATCAGTGAATAGTGCAAAGCCTGATGTAATGATCAGCTCTGGACCAGTAATTTGGGTTTTCATAGTTTTGTCCTCTCAGGGTCTTGCCTTGCCAGAAGTTAAAAAGGACTGGCAAAAAATTCTACAAAATTCTAATGCTGTAGGTGACTTCTAACATTTTCTGCTCACTAAATGGAAAAAATTAAGCCATTTTGTATGAGAAACTGCATGACCTAATGGCTAAGTCCCAGGTTTCCTCAGACTGCAGAGGTTTGTTCCCAGTTTTGGCATGAGCTGCCTTTGCTCGTTTTGGCAAACGCGCGCTCTCCGGGTGAACCCCTGCTCTGGCTGCCAGCAGGGAGGGACTGCCTTCCCAAAGCCCGGCTCTCCTGCAGGAAAAGAGCTGCACACACATCCCAGCATCTCAGCTGATAACCTCCGTTCTCTCTGAGAAGATTTGTTTTTCTGGCACTAGCTGTCTGCCAGATTTTCTGGGCCCTCATTTTTCATGTTTTGGGAGGGCGCTGAGCTGAAATCATGCTCCTCCCTGCCGTGCAGTCAAAGTGCCTCGCCCGGCAATTAAACCACAAGGCATTTATTCACAGCATATCTGTACTTGTGAATATCCTAGCAGAGCCTCAAGCCAGCCTCCATCAAAACCAGATGGTACTGCCCACTCTTCCCACATGTCTCAAAAGCAGAGGGCAGAAAGTCTTTGGAGAACAGAGTTGGAAGTGTCCCAGTCTCTTTCCCAACTGTTCTCAGTATTAGCTGGCTAGATATTACTTTTGTGTTGCAGCAAGCTCTTACCACCATCTACTCTGCTCTGCAGGAAAGAAAAACAGCCAGAATAAGATGGAAAGGCTTTGTTTGCTTTCTCCACGTAACACAGCTCCAGGCAGGCTGAAAGGCGTATTGTAATGAGGCATTACTAATTTCAAGCCCTGAAAATGCACTCTGTAACCTCAAAAATAAGTGGTACACCTCAGTTTCCTGAGTAGCTACTGTGAAAGTCCTTCCAGCCTGTGATGTCAAGGCCACCAGAAACATTCACATGAGCTGGAACTTGGGTTAAGTCAGAGAGCAGGGAGATGCTGTGATCTGGATGGTCATTGGCCACAAAGCAGCTTTGCTTGGTTTTTGGACATTAGAAACTGTCCACAGTCAAGGGTAGCATCACCCATCAAGTATTGTTTTTCTCGTTTTCAAATAAGATTTTTCAAACAAAATGTAAATTTCAGCTCCCTGATAACTGTCATTGACTGAGTACTTTGCAAATGAAGGGCTTCCTCAGAGCCCTTGTGAGCTTTCAGGGTGAGGATGCTTGTTCAGGGTTGCACTGTTTGAGCTCCTTGCACTTGTCTGATTCCTAGTTTATTTAGCTTCATGGAAGAAACTGTTGTCTGGAAGTAATCCATAAAGGAGTGGGTTGATTGAGTCCACTCAATAGATGTTTTAAATTTCCTTATGCCCCTTTTATGCTGCAGCAGTGCACACACAGGAACTGACAGAGCAGAAGCCTTGAGCAGACCCAGGGTGTGGGTTTTGGATCTCTAAAACAGATCCAGAAGAGTGTGAACAGCTTGTGGTCACTTAGTGTTTATCCAGATTTAAAGTATTTTCTGAATTTCATCTTTGTAGTTTTGGGCTTTAAAGTTTTATATTTTTCATGCCTCCAGCCTTCATATTCACTTAGAAAAAGTCTTACTAGTCAAGGCTGAATTTTTCAGGTGGTTGCAAGAATTTGGAAGCTGAGGCTGTAAGAGAAACCCCAGCTAAAGCCATAGTGATTTATGCCCCAGTGATGTCTCATCCTGGTCTGGATTACTTGGTATGAACACTTGGTTTAACGCCTGGCATATCACATGACAAAGAGGCTGCTTTTGAACTATTCAGACTCTCAGGTTTGAATCTATGGAAGCTGCTGGTGTCTGTATGTTTTATCTTACACCATAATCTGCATCTACAGGCTGCCTGTCAGGTGTTTGAGATACAGAGCCTTCGCTGGATTTGCACTGCTGGGCTGCCAGAGTAGCTGCTGCAGTTGGGTGCAGCTGCAACAGGCATTTGGGCAGTGCCTCATCTTACTGGACAGGGAGAAGCCCTCAACAGAATGCTTCAGAGGCTGCTCACAGCTCCAGGGCACACTGCAGGAGGGCTCTCAGCTGTGTATTCCTGGTGGCTGTGACTTCAGACAGCCAAGGACATCTTGCTGGGGTCAGCTCATTCTCTGTGCACCGGTGCTCTTCGCAACATCAGAGGAAGCCAGAGTCCCTTTGGCAGAAAACTCAATTTTTTGTTTATTATTTTTTAGCTCCCCTCCATCACCAAGTCGGCATCAGTGCAGCTGGCTAAGGGCAATGCCAGCTGAAAGGCAGAAGAGTGTATTTCTCTGTGCTCTCTGTATCTCTCTCAACCTCTTCCCTACTGAGTGTCAGCAGTGTAATGGATGATGTTGCATCGCTTAGAGCATCCCTGTTTCCCAGAGCAGCCCCCTGTCAGGGGAGGAGGCAGCAGTTCAGCATGGGCAGCTGGAGGCATAGTGCCCTGGCAGGACATACATCCCTGCCATTAGCCTTAATGGCTTCTTTCCTCATTCCTGAAGAATGCTGGCCAGGCCCAGCTGTGTGGCATGAAAAGCCATGCCGTGCTGGAAGGGTATATGGAGATACGTATACAAATATGCACATGCACACCAAGATGCTGCTCTACGGGCTGCCCAGGGCTCTGGATCCAACCCAGCCTTATGTCTCACCTGCCTGCTTTCTTCTCTGTCTCCCAAAACAGGCAACAGATCCCAGAGAAAAGCCAGAAGAAGAAGAAAAAGACCAAATGGCGAGGGGACAGAGCCACGGGCTCCCACAAACTCCAGTGTGTGATTTTGTGACAGGACACCCTGGGAGTGCCTTGGATGCCTCCCTGCTGCCCTCCTGACCCCCTGGCAGCCCGGGCGAGGAGCTGCAGCTCGGTGCTGATGCCCACACGGCCCCGTGGCCCCCGGGCTCCCCACGGTGGCTCAGACTCGGAGCAGGCGGCTCCAAAGGGTCCGGACCCCCGGAGAGGGGCTGCACATCAGGGCCAGCCTGGGAGCTGTGTCAATGGGAGGCAGAAGGGATCAGCAGGACCTCAACTCTCAAACATCTCCAGCACCTTCCAGGGGCCTCCATCATGTTTATAAAAACAAACAAACAAAAAAAAAAAAAAACAAGGCAGAAGTTTAAAAAAAATGTTGGTTTTATCTGCAAACATTTCTCTTTGTGACCCATTTCTGAACAGCCGTGAATAGCCCCCCTGTTTGGTACAGTTGTCTGTGTATGTGTGGGGGAAGGGAAAGGGTTTTTCTTTCTCCTAATTTTTTTTGTCCTGTTCTTCCTTTTTGTTGTTTGCTCAGCAAGTGTTGGGTTGCAAAGAAACAACGGCCAGGCTTACATTTTTTGCACTGGACTCTCTCTTGGGCAGCAGTGCCAAAACACAACTTCATATGAAAGTGCATAGATTTGGAGGAAGAAAATTAATTCCAGCTGCTCTGGGTGCTCCAGACATTGTGTCAGACTCTGGAGGGTTGCCAGCTCACAGACCATAAACTCCAGTTTAGGAAAGGAGGTTTGGGCTTGGATTATGTATTTTTTTTCTTACCCTTTGTCAAGAGGTTTTGTTTCTGTTTTGTAACTTTGGACATGTCAAACTTAAGACATTTTGTTAACCTGGAAGTATTTAAATTAAAGTAATTTACAAATGGAAGGGTATGTCATTTTTGGGGGAGGGGGGTGGAGGGGAAGGGAGAAAGGAAGTAAAATCTGAACTGGATTTGTTATTTGGGTGTTGAATTTCTCCCTCATAAATGCATGTAAAGTGGTGCGATCTAAATCACTCTATTATTCCTTAACCTTTCCCTGCAAAGCCACTAGTGGGTAGATTAATTGTTTTGCTTTTCCCAGGCTCATCTCACACACACAGGAAACAAAATCTGTTTATGGAGTTTGGCTCAATGTTTCTTCTCCCTCCTTCGCCAAGTTGGTGACTTGAAAGGAAGAGGTGTTTTTAAAATGATTCAAGTGGGATGGGTCTCTTCATAAGCTGACTGTATCTAAAATGTCTCCCTGAAAACAGCAAGGACTAAATATGCCTTATGAAAAGACAAGGCAAAAAACCTGCAAGCATTCAAGATGCCATCTGTAGCACCAGAAATATGGCTGTGCACATCCTGGAGGAGCCACGTGTTCTTTCACACCTTTCCTGGCAGTAAGAACTGCAGTAGCAAATTTGTCTTTAATGGTATGTCATGTGCTGGATTGAATCCATTGGCTCCGTTCACACGGTCACCAAATCTGTTTAAAGTAGCAACTTGCTTTTCATCAGCTTGAATCCTATTCAAATATGCTTTGCGGGCATGACTTAAAATATTGGCAGAGTATGAATGCCTGAGATTTATGTGTCTGAGCACACAAAATCCTGGTATTGGATATTGAAGATCCATCCAAGATGATGGATCATCACAAATTTAGTTGTCTATACTTGTATATATGCCACCAGATTTCATTTCTTGACTCTGTGCCAGGCCACTTTTTAGAAGTGAGTTGGCTGCTGATTATTTTTCAGGTGAATGAGGGTAATGGAAACACGTTCTTAATTTGTCCAGTCCTCATCACAGCCAGAAGATGGCAAAGGCCTGTGGCTGGCTCAGCAAGCTGCTTGGGGTAATGCTGGCTCTGCTGCCTCTGTCCCCTTTGGTGTGGTGACAGATGCTGGGGATGGATTAAGCAGAGGGATATTGGAAGGAAGTGTCTCTCACGGACTCTTGGGTTGGATGTGGGCCATACACTTCAGTGAAGCAGCAACGTGCTGTGTCAGCTGAGATGTGGCTCCCCAGCAGGGCAGCGTTTCTCTCAGTGCTGGCTGAACAGACCTGCAGCAACTGAAGCCATTCTGTTTCAGTGCTGGCTGAACAGACCTGCAGCAACTGAAGCCATTCACTTCAAATTCCAGTCCTTGAGACTTGCCTCTGCCTTCTGGAAGATCTCCCTTTAGGCATTTCATTTGTTCTGCTTTGAAAACCTCTAGTAAATGAGAAATTGTCTGATGATCTTTGCAACCACCCCATTTCACCATCACCCCTGTAACCACTTCCCTACCAGAATCCCTGTCTAGCCTGACTGCTGGCTTAATAGTTTTAATTATACACTACTAATGCTACGGGATCCCACACAGAAGATTATGGCGTTTTCAGGGAGCTCTTTTAATGCCCCCTAGAGCTCTTCCACTTAAAAATAACTTGATTTCTGCTGAAACACCTCATCCTTATTATTTTTATCTAAACCCTTGGGAATGCTTGCCTGAAAACAGCATGTGTGTCTCTTGAGTCACATCTGCTGCGTACTCAGCACTGCATGTGAGAAATTATCTGCTTTTTCTAAAGCTTCTTAATTGTTTCTACAGTTCCTTTAGCAACTAGCAGCTCTTGCAGAATAATGGACAGGAGGAGGAGGGGAAAGGAGCAGATTAACAACAGAATATGGAGTAGTGGCCAGTGGGGAAGGCATGGCTGTTTTCTTCTACATTCATCAACTTGTTTATAGCAAGGAGTGTTTTCCATCAAGGATTGCGTCTTTGACAATTCTAGGGTGCTGAAAATAGCAAGGTATACAAAGCCTTCTGCCACTTAACCCACCCTGTCATATTCAGGGCTGTTGGGAAATGGAGAGCAGCTTCCCTGCCGTGTACAGCACCTACAGACCTGGTAGGGAGACACCAGTTGGTGACACACTGCAGAGAGCAACAGCTGTGCTTTGGGTGGCTTATATTTGTAATTTGTATATATTATATATTTGTCTATGGAGCATCCAGTGGATAGGGACATTTTTGTTGTGGTCAGGGGTAGTCTGAGAAGGATCCTGTAAGGGCACAAATGGGGCTCATTGCCAAAGAGCTGATGGTCCAAGCAGCCTAACATCACCTGATGTTAGAGCTGGCCTTGCTTTCAACACAGAGTTTCAAACAAAATAAAAAGAGGGGTAAAACCTTATAGATTTATTGGTATTTAATAACTATATAACCTCCTTTTCTATTTTAGACACTGAATAATATTTGTAAAACAACAAACAAAAAGTATTAAGCCACCAAAGTTTTGGCTTTGCAAAGGTGTCATCACCTCCCTGACCTGGGATCCCACAGCATCTGTACCACTGCCATCAGGTAAATCATGTTACTGTTTCCTCTCTCTGGTCCTGCCTATAAGGCAGCCACTGGCTTTGTTTTCTTACCAGCTTCTGAGGTGCAGGATATTTATTGTATAAGCCAAGTCACCTGTTTGTCTGTTGACCTCATGTCTCTCAAAAGGGGGGTGGGAAGGAAGAAAAGGAGAAGTACCTGGTTTAAATACACGTTCCTTTGGGATGAGCAGAGTTCAATTGTCCCTGACTGCCTCCCAACTCTAAATGGCACAAAAGCCTGATAACAGCAAGCAAGCAACACCACCCCACAGCTGAGGAGGCCTGCAGGTGGTGGCCACCTACAAACCTGCTTTGTGGCTGCCTCAGCCAAGGCCAGTGCTGTCCCTGGCAAAGCTGCCCTATGATAGCCTGGGTACATATAAATAAACCATGTTCAGATGATGGTGCTCAGCAGCAAAACACTGGAGATGGTGAAAAAGAGAAGCAAGCATTTAACAAGGGGCTGAAATTGCTTGGTTTGGATCAGATGTTTCAGTTTAACAAGAGGCCATTGCCATTTGTTGCTCGGTTCCTCAATCTACAATAATTAATTTTGGCTGGCTCTTTTAACCTACAGCTGTACTAGAATTTGCAAATTAGGACAGGCTGAGGGGATTAGACATACATGGTGTGTCTTGTCTGGAGAGGAAATGAGCATTATTGGGCACAGAGAGGACAGCATTGTAATGCTGGGTCAGATTTTTTCTTTTAGCTTGTTACCCATCCTCAGGCCAAAATGGACTGCCCAGAGGCTTATTCAGCTCCAGTGATTTCAAGGGATGATCCCTAAATGCTGCTGAAGTGCTTGGGAAGAAGGTGATCCCCCTCAAAGCTCTGCTAAGAGTAGAATATAATGGGGAATACAGAAGATACTTTAAGAGACATGACTTATGGTCTACTCCAGATGTCAGAGTTCAGATATTTATTAATGAGGGAGAGAGAGGGCTTGAGAGAAGTTTGGCATTAGAGAAATAGCCAAGGCCCTGTGACAACTGTCACATCACCTATGTACCGTGGAATGGACAGAAGAACTCTGTGTCTGGAAATCTGCTTTCTGTGAGCTGGGTTCAGTGGCCAACCTATTCTATCTGCTGTAGGCTGGGCAGGAAGGAGGAGCTTTAGTGCATTTATTAAGGACTGCATTACAGTGCACAGCAAACATCACAGTGAAAAGGAGAGGAAGGATGCTGTGGCATGGGAAGTGTTGCTGTTCTTGCTCACTGCTCCCTGTGCTGGGAGGTCTCCAGTGGTCACATAGGCTAAATTGAGTGTCTTGCATTTATGTATTTAATGACATCTGAAGGTGCCTGGGGGTATCCAGGGCATTTACCTGTGAGTTTCAGCTGTAACACAAGACCTATGGGAAATCTGGGCCCTTCTGGAACAGCAGCCACCATCCAGGCAAGGATTCACCTGAGCACCTAAAATGGCTCCACATGTGTACCTTGGGGCAGCCAGTAGGTGCTCTGAGAACCCCCTTCTATTTCACAGCAGTGCTCTGAAAGAAGTCAGTGGATATCAGGCAATCCAGGCAATCTCATGAGTATCAGTTGCACAATTAGGCTGTAAATAATTCAATATTTGGCTATCAGGGATTCCATCAATATTATGCAGGCCTTTTGCTTCCTTTTCTCTTGCATGCAAGGGAAAGAAATATTTCATAGATGATCTCACAGATGGTTTCTGGGATGACACAGGACTTGTTTGCAGCAGAAGAGAGTGGGGAGAGAGATGCCTGCATGTGCTGGATCCCATGATGGGGCGGCACGAGGAGATACAGCACAGAGGTAGGCTCTGGTCTGTGATAAATCACTGGTTCTTCTCTCCAGCTCCAAGAAGTCACTCATGAGTGGCCAGCAGGTCAGGCAGGTCAAGACTTCCTGAGGCAGGAGAAATGTGCTGGCACTGTGTCCCTGCTGTGCCAAAGGGAGGGGACAGGGAAGGAAGACACACCCAGCAGTGGGACCTGGCAGGTGGGTGAGTGCAGGGGTTACTGCTAATGACAGGAGGGGGATGTTCAGCAGTGCTGAGTGCGGAGAGACAGACAAAATCCCCTAATCCTGGCAGTTCTGGGACAGCTTTTTTAATTCTTTTGAATTCAGGGACCCCTTTGCCCAGTCCTGGGGGACCAGCAACATCATGCCAAGCCAAACACAGCAGTCTGACTTGTCACAAGCATTACTACTCTTCTGGTTTCCATCCCTCCTCCCAGGTCTCTCTCATACAGACCAGGACATGCACAACATTGTCTGAGAGCTCAGACTGGGCATGTGGTCAGATTCAGGAGCCAAAGAGAGGGACTCAGGCAACATCCTGGATTTGGTCAATAGGAGAGCAAGAGTAAGAGGTAAAGGAAGGAGCTTTGTGAATCAGGACCTTGTTCTATAAAGCCAAATCCTCTGCAAATCTGGGCAAGAGCTATTGTACAGCTGGTGATTAAGACAATCTCAGCTGAGAAGTCAGCCCAGCTGAACCAGTCACGAGCTGCTCCTGGGGCTGCCACACACAGAGGTGGTTATCCTGGGGCTCCTC